CATGTTACCCAGGCTGGAGTGCAATGGTGCAATCTCGGCTCACTGCAACCTCCGCCTCCTGGGTTCAGGCAATTCTCCTGCCTCAGCCTCCTGAGTAGCTGGGATTACAGGCACGCACCACCATGCCCAGCTGATTTTTTGTGGTTTTAGTAGAGACGGGGGTTTCACCGTGTTGACCAGGATGGTTTCGATCTCTTGACCTCGTGATCCACCCGCCTTGGCCTCCCAAAGTGCTGGGATTACAGGCTTGAGCCACCGCGCCCGGCAATTAAGCAATTCTTATGTAAGATACCATATTACAGTCAAATTAACTTTGTATCTGACAAACATTGAAATAACCCATTTTCCTACACTGACACTTGCTTCCAAAATGACAATAAATTTTCATCTGGACTAATAAATTACCTGGCCAGCATGGGATTCAGAACCTGGTCTGCAACCAAATCCACCGTCAAAGTTCATACAGGATAAAACAAATTCGATTGCCTTTTCCACATTAATAGCATCAAGCTTCCCCTACAAATAGGAAAAAAAACCAAAAAACAAAAAAAAAAAACTGTTTAATTCCAGAGTATTCAGCAGCTCAGACTCAAAAGAAAAAAAAATTCTAGAGTATTCATGAACTTCAATCATTTCAAACCAATATTCAAAGCTTACCAACAATGCCAAAGTTGCCACCGCACAAAAAGAGAATCTTGTATCAATTTCTCCTATAACAAAAAGAGATCAAAATCAAGGCAGGTGTTACCAGATTATATATTAGTCATCTAAAAAACTCTGCACAACTACCACTTTAAATTGAATTCAAGCTCAACTTTTACTTTAGGTAGTCAGGAGGAATGCTAAATCTAAGTGTCTTTACTTCCCAAAAAATTCCTTTGTCGGAAACAACAGCAAATTGACCAGGCACAGTAGCTCCTACCTACAGTCCCATCACTTTGGGAGACTGAGGTGGGAGGATAACTTGAGCCCAGGGGTTTGAGACTAGCCTAGGCAACATAGCGGGACCCCATCTCTACAAAAACTTTTTAAAAAAATTAGCTGGGGATGGGCACCACGGCATATGCCTGAAATCCTGGCACTTTTAGAGGCCGAGGAGGGAGGCTCACGTGAGTCCAGGAGACCCCCATCTCTACTGAAAATACAAAAATCAGCCAGGTGTGGTGGTGCACATCTCTATAATTCCAACTAATCAAGGGTGAGGCAGAATTGCTTGAGCTTGGGAGGTGGAGGCTGCAAGTAAGACAAGATTGCACCACCGCACTCCAGCCCCCGCAACTCCATCTCCCCCCCTAGCCCCCCCAAAAAAGCTGGCTGTGATGGTATGCAGCTGTATATAGTCCCAGCTACTCAGGAGGCTGAGTCTTGAGGATCACTTGAACATGGAGGGTCAAGGCTGCAGTGAACAGTGATTGTACCAGTGCACTCCAGCCTGGACAGAGCAAGGCCTCGCTTAAAAAAAAACAAACAAAAAACAAAAACAATAAATTATCTTAAGCTACTTAAAGCATGTCCAGAAAGAGAAGAAAACAAATAGAACTGAAAGAATTAGTCAATTCCTAATAATGCAAATAAACTTACCCTATTTTATAATAAAGTAGATTTTTCACATCCCATGAAGCAGCTGGTCTCTCTGGCCTGCACTGTGTTCATCCCTAAAGCAGAGATTATCTACATTTATCAAATTAAGTTCTATTCCCTCCCTCCACTCAAATATTCAGCAAGTTTGTAAAGTTTTTTGAATATTTTTCCCGTATCAGCAAGAAGTTTTTTAAAAACTTTACAAAGCCACCAAATATTGGGGGAAAAAAATTTCACCTACCTTATCTTTTAGACTGGCCCCCTCTGTTCCAGTGCTCCTGTATGCTGATATAACTACCACAGTACATGCTGGAAGTTCCAGCAGACCATTAACTCCAGTTAGACCAGCTGCTTAGTGGGACCTGAAAAGATGAAAAACTTATAAACTGGTTACTAGCAAAATCAGTACATTTTTACATTGGTATTTTGGGTAGAATGGTCTAAATCTGACATTACCCCAAATATCTCCAGCAAAAGAACCATCTTCTTTCTGCAGACTTTTAACATATTCCACAACTTTATTTACATCGATAACATTAATACTGTCATACAGCGTAAGAATCTGCAATAAAGACAAATATTAGGTAAATACACCTTTTATGTTTATTCTAAAGCTCTTATGCTCAATTCTTTGTCATTCCATACAATTAGATATCAAGAAAACCCAAATCTTTATCCATAAAATATAATTTTTCTACATATAAATTTTAACTTGGCATTCCAACATACTCCAATACACACAAAGTCCTTAACCCATCTCAGCACCCAGCACCAGACTTTAAACCACCAGGCAGATGTTCACTAATACCAAACTCAAATAGCTATTTTTCAATAGTTACACATACTGAAGATAAAAATTTTATCCTCCAAGGTCTCAGTGTAATTTTAGAACTCACATCAACTTTGGATTCAGCTAATACATGCCACTACATCATTGACCTTGTAGGACAGCTTCACTTTTTGACCAAATCCTATATATAGTTTCAATTCCCATTTCTTGAAGAGAACGTTCTATCAAGATCGTTGAAATTTTAATTAGTATTTACCTGGACAGCACTAAGAGTGTATAAAAGATGAGGATCATGTCCGATACTAGCACTTATTCCACCACATTCATGTTGGCAAGACTTAATAAATGCCAGAATCTCTTCTCTATTCATTCGATGAAGTTGTCCCATGAGATCCATTACTGTCAGGCCCCAATAGATGCCACTCATTCTCAAATATTCAGACATACAGTATTCCTAAAACAATACACAATTTAAAATGTGTCAGCAAAGCTAACTCATTAGCCATGCTGCTATTTTTTACCTCTCCTGATCTTAATAGCACTAATCAGTAGTGAGTTTAAATTTGTGACTCTCAATGTCAGAAGCCATCTTCAGACACAACTATCAATCAGAAAAAAACAATTATCTGAGGACAGGATTAATTCATCTATGGCTGACAATACCAATAGGGCTTTTAGTTTCTCCCACAAACCAACCAGACAGAAATGCATCTACCATTTTCGCCGGTAAAGTTCAGGAAGAATATTTCTTTCAGAGTACCTACACCATACTTATCAAGCATGCATTTTAATGTGGAGTCTGTACATAACCTATTATCTATTAGTAAATTATATAACTACATGAAAACCAAAATGGCCTAAATATGCCAAAGATTTCCAAGCTCAGATAAAACACTGGCTAATCAATGATACATGAACATTAAGATTCCAGAACAAACTTTTTCCCACACTCAACAATGCATTACATTTTAAGAAGTTTTGTGGCTGAGTATGGTGGCTCTCGCCTGCAATCCCAGCTATTCAGGTGGCTCACCTAAACCCAGGAGGTGGAGGATGCAGTGAGCCCAGATCACACCACTGCTCTCCCGTCTGGGAAACAAAGTGAGGTTTTATCTCCCAAAATGACGAAGTTTTCTAACAAGAAGTGCACCTGAGTTCGCTACTAACCCAAATCCAGAGCATACAGATAGCAGATAAAGGCAGAAAGGAGTCCAGCCCCTTCCATATGATGACCTTAACTCCATGACTGCTACTCCAGTATTTTCAAGGTTATGAGAACCTAACACTTAAGTAAAAAATCAATACATACCATATATCCCACATATCGATGGATAAACTTAAGACAATTAAGTTTGGATACTACAGGGGAAAACATTTACTCTCAACTAAGTTGTTTACTACTTTTGTCCCAGAGAGTTTTCCTCAAAATTAAAACATTTAAGGTAAAACTTTTTCAAGGTCTCAGAGTAATTCTAGAGCTAAAGTGTTATTACACATCAGCAGTAGATTCAGATAAGACATGCCAAAACATCATTGACCTTGAAAGTATTACCCCTAACTACAAAAGGGGACACCTGTTTGTCCCCCAAACCCTTATCTACTTTGTCTGGTAAGCCCTCTCAGTATAGGTGAGTAGCTGGGATTACAGGGGCTCACCACCACGCCCGGCTAATTTAGTATTGTTGGAGGAACAGGGGTTTCACCATGTTGGTCAGGCTAGTCTCAATCACCTCGTGATCCGCCCGCCTCAGCCTCCCAAAGTGCTGGCATTACAGGCGTGAACCACCGCGCCCGGCCTGAACTATGATTCTAATAAGTCCACAACCCCAGGCATTCAAGGCACGCTTCACTGAAATTCAAAGGCACAGCACATCCTCAGTTCTCTGCATGGAGTTGGATACCGTTTTAAGACGCATAAAACATAAATACTGCCTCACTGCTTATGACTGTCACGCTTCTTTAAAAATAAACTTTCCAACATAAAAAAAAAAATCATACGTACATAATCGTCTTTCTTTGAGCCATAGGATGCGATATAATCTGCATGTTTCTCCAATAAGAGAGTGTCTGGTGCATCTGACTTGATAATAACATCCTTCTGTGGAGTGCCCTTTCAAAATAAAAAAGCAGTAATCTCAATGTTTACCTTTAAAACGTTCTGCCCCACAGCAGATTCTACATACATCTGAATTTTCAGTTGATTTCACCTTGTAACAGGAAAACGTTCCATTTAAAAATTGTAACCAACTAGGGAGGCTGAGGTAGATGGCTTGAGCCCGGGAAATTGAGGCTGCAGTGAGCTTAGATTGTGCCACTGCGCTCCATCCTGGGAAATGGAAGACCCTGACTCTAAATAAAGTATAGGTATGCATGTATTTATAACAAAAAATAATTTAAATTATTCAAGTTCCATTTTAGTCACAATTCAGGTAATTTTCAGGTCTCAGAGTAATTCTAGAGCTAAAGTAGTAATAATCAACTTTAGATTCAGAATACATGCCAGCTCATCATCGACCCAAAAAATTACCACCAGCATTTTTTGTTCATTTTCCATTCAAAAAGGTAAGTAAAAATAAACACCAGGCCTGGCACGGTGGCTCATGCCTGTAATCCCAGCTACTCAGGAGGGCTGAGGTTGCAGTGAGCCGAGTTCGCGCCCTTGCACTCCAGGGCAGGCAACAAAAGTGAAACTGTCTCGAAAAAAATAAACACAATAGAATATCAAAGCTTAGCATTTCAGGACAACTTACGGTTTACATGCGGTAGAAAGCATATTAAAAAAAAAAATCTAGCTAGCCCTTAACTTGCAAGTAAATTCTTGCTTAATCAAATGCAGGTTTCAAAGCACCTTCTAAGTACCCCAAAAGATGTTCAAATATACTAAATAAGCATTTCCTTTAGCTCCATCTTCTCCACCTTTAATCCGAGTTTCTGTATTTGCAGAAGTCCCTGTGGGATGAGGCTCTAGTTCTTTTCGTGTCTGTCTTCCTCATTCAGAGTACATTGCAGTCACTATAGTAGGTCATGAAGATTACCGGAAATGATTAAGTGCCGAATTTTCCTCTAATCCCATTAAAAAATCTCTACGAGGCCTTCAAGCGAGACCACATCACTAACGATTTTAAAGAAATTTGACACCCCCTCTCCAAAAAAGAAAGCCATCAATCAGCCCGAGCTTTTTAGAGGGGTTAAGAAATCGGACGACTCAACTCTTAACAGGCCCTCCCAACAGAAGACGGCCTGGGTTAAAACTAGCAGCGAAATTACCCGCGAGGTCTGCAGAAAACGCTGAGTAATATTTCACCCTCAAGAAACCTTATAAGATCTGTGTCCTAACCATTCTCCAGCACCAGGAAAACAATCCTACAGCTACCAGTCTGCTACCAACCCATCTGGAGAGCAGCACAAAACGCACACTTACCATGTCTAACAGCTAAAAGAGAGAGCAGGGTCAGTTCCTGGGTAGACTTAGGAGCCGGGCGCCTGCGCAGAAGCACCTCTCAGGCCCCCAACGCCCTCCGATATAGCTGACCACACTTTCGCCTGAAAGGCAGAGCAGATCTTAAGGCTGCCGTAGGACCCCACTGATTGTTCATAGGTGTCCTCACCTGCCTGCGTTCAAAGTCTCTGGCGCCCGTATTCTCGTTCCGTAGCCAGTCTGATTTGTCTAGCAACAGCTTTAAATAATATTTAAATATCTGAGTTGCTTTTAAGAAATCATTTGGGCCGGGCGCAGTGGCTCACGCCTGTAATCCCAGCACTTTTGGAGGCCGATGCGGGCGGATCACCTGAGGTCAGGAGTTCGAGACCAACCTGACCAATATGAGCAAACGCCGTCTGTACTAAAAATACAAAAATTAGCTGGCCGTGGTGGCGCATGCCTGTAGTCCCAGCGTAGTCGGGAGGCTGAGGCAGGAGAATGGCTTGAGCGTGGGAGGCGGAGGTTGCAGTGAATCAGGGCCGGGAGAGAAAGAGAGGAAAGAGAGAGGGAGGAAGAGAAAAATAAAGAAAAAAAGAGAAAGAAACAGGAAGAAAGAAAAGAAAAAAGGAAGGAGGGAGGGAAGGAACGAAGGAAATGATTCTAGTTAGGAAGGGAGGGAGAGAAAAGAAAGAGGGATGACGGAGTGAAGGAAAGAGCGAGGGAAAGAAGGAAGGAAGGAAATTGTTCTAGGGAAGAAGGAAGAAAGGAAAGAAATAAATCATTTGTTCTAGTTTGAACTCTGGAAGGAAGGAAATCATTTGTTGTAGTTTGAACTCCTGGATGCAAGCAGTCCTCTCTTCTGGGCCTCTCAAAGTGCTGAGATTACAGGCCTGAGTCACTATGTCTGGTCAGAACATTTTTCTTCTTTTTCTTTTGAGTCGGAGTCTTGCTCTTGTCACCCCGGCTGGAGTGCAATGGCTGATCTCGGCTCACTGCAACCTCCACCTCCCAGGTGGAAGGGATTCTCCTGCCTCAGCCAATCGAGTAGCTGGGATTACAGGCACCCGCCACCCTGCCCTGCTAATTTTTGTATTTTTAGTAGAAATGGGGTTTCGCCATGTTGGCCAGGCTGGTCTGGCACTTCTGACCCCAGGTGATCTGCCTACCTCGGCCTCCCAAAGTGCTGGGATTACAGGCTTGAGCCGCTGCGCCTGGCCGTTTTTTGTTTTTGTTTTGTTTTTAAAAGAAGACAGGGTCTTGCTCTGTTGACCAAGCTGGAGTGCAGTGGTGCTATCACAGCTCACTGCAGCCTCTATCTCTCATGCTCAAGTGACCCTCCCACCTTAGCCTCCCAAGTAGCTAGGACTACAGGTATGTGCCATCATGCCTGGCTAGTGTGTGTGTTGAGATAGGAGTCTCAGTATGTTGTGGCCTCCCAGAGTGTTGGGATTAGATGTGAGCCACCATGCCCTACCCAGAGCATATTTTATTTAACATGGATTAGCCTGGGTTTTAACTTTAAACTGTTAAATGTGCCTTATATGGTATGTGAGCGTGCACTTGTGATTTTGCTCCAGGCCCTGCAAATGTAAGGAGTGGGCCTTCTCTCTTTCAATATTCTCCCTTTCTGGGACTTTAGTTGACATGTTAGATTTCCTTTTTTTCTTTTCTTTTTTTTTTGAGATGGAGTCTCTCTGTCGCCCAGGCTGGAGGCAGTGGTGCCATCTCGGCTCACTGCAACCTCCACCTTCTGGGTTCAAGTGATTCTTCTGCCTCAGCCTCCTGAGTAGCTGGGATTACAGGCGTGTGCCACCACGCCTGGCTAATTTTTTGGTATTTTTAGTAGAGATAGGGTTTCACCATGTTGGCCAGGCTGGTGTCAAACTCCTGACCTCAAGTCATCTGCCTGCCTCAGCCTCCCGAAGTGCTGGGATTACAGGAGTGAGCCACTGCACCTGGCAGAAATGTTAGACTTTCTTATTACATCATTCTCATTTCTTGCATTTTTCACCTTTTTTGTCTTTCTGTGATGGATCCTGGATAATTTATTCATATCTATCTGACTATATAGTGTTCTTTTGGTACTTAAAGTCCATGGGCTAGCAGCATCAACAGCACTCTGAGAACTTCTAGAAAGGCAGTCTGAGTCACATCCTAGACCTAACAAATCTCATTCTACATTTGCATAAGCTCCCCAAGGATTCTTATGCATTTTAAAATTTAGGAAATACTCTTTCAGATTAAATTCAATTGTTTTTCAGATCTTCCTGGGTTTTTTTTTTTTGCGTTTTTTTTTTGTTTTGAGACGGAGCCTTGCTCTGTCACTCAGGCTGAAATGCAGTGGTATAATCTTGGTTCACTGCAACCTCCACCTCTTGGGTTCAAGCATTTCTCCTGCCGCAGCCTCCCGAGTAGCTGGGTCTACAGGCACATGCCACCACGCCCACTATTTTTTTTTTTTTTTTTCTTTTTAGTAGCTATGGGGTTTCACCATGTTGGCCAGGATGGTCTTGATCTGTTGACATCATGATCTGCCCGCCCTGGCCTCCCAAAGTCTGGGATTACAGGCATGAGCCACCCTGCCTGGCCTTGCCTGTTTGTTTTTATAGATTCCTATTGTTTTCCATTTTGTAATTTTTCAAAATTTTTTTTACATATTTCACACAAAAAGTTACTTTATTCAGTTGTCTCCTGGTATCTGTCGGGTTCCAGGAACCCCTGCCAATACCAAACTCCAAGGATGCTCAAGTCATTCATATAAAACAGCATAATATTTGCATATAACCTATGTACATCCTCCCATATACTTTAAATCATTTCTAGATTATCTGTAATATCTAATAAGATGACTACATATCATTCCATTTGTGTGGATTCAATGTAGTACTTGCATGTAGCAAATTCAAGTTTTGCTTTTTGGAACTTTCTGGAATTTTTTTTTCCCTGAGTGTTTCTCATCTGAGGTTGGTTGAATCCACAGATGCAGAACCCACGGAAACAGAGTACTGCCAACTGTACTGTTTATTTGATCATTCTAATATCTGGAGTCTTGAGGTCTGTGTTAGTCCATTCTCTCATTGATACAAAGAAATACCTTAGCCTGGGTAATTTATAAAGAAAATAGGTTTAATTGGCTCATGGTTCCACAGGCTATACAGGAAACACAGCTGGAGAGGCCTCAGAAAACTTAAAATTGTGGCAGAAGGTGAAGGGGAAGCAGGCAAGTCTGATGTGGCCAGAGCAGGAGGAAAAGGTGTGGGGGTGGGGGTGGGAGTGGGGAGGTGCCACACATTTTTAAATAACCAGATCTCACGGGAAAACTCACTCATTATCATGAGGACAGTGTTCAGGGGGATGGTGTTAAACCATTAGTAACCATTACCATGATCCAATCACCTCCCACCAGGCCCCACTTCCAACACTGGGATTACAATTGAAATTGGGATTTGGGTGGGGATACAGATCCAAACCACATCAAGGTCCCAAATGTGTTATTTTTAATTTTCAGTTGAGTTTTTTTCGTGCTGATTGGTTCTTTATTTATTTTGAAGATTTTTGGTTGTCAGCTCATATTAGGGCCTCACTGGAAGGTGCCTTTCTCTGGAGAATATTTCTATTTGTTCTGACAAGAGCCAGAGAGTGATAATCATCTAAATTTACATTATGCAAACAATGTGCAGCCTAGCTGGCTCTCTAAGAAGTGTTTCTACCCTGAAGGAGCTCAGTGGGAAAGAAGGTAAATAATCAGTGACAAATTCTCTGACAAAGGCAAGCTTAGTATGCTACAGAAAAGGTGACTTGTAAGTCAGACGGGAGAGAGTTGTGGTAGAGGGGAAGGGAGGCAAGGAGTGATCAGATCTCCTGGGAAAAAGCAATGCTTGAAATAAGAATCATGTAAGCATTAGATCCAAAAAGTAACATTGTTCAGATTGAGTTAATAACTGCTGAAGGAATAAAAAACAAACCTATCTTTCTACTGTATAAATTCATTCAACTAATATGTATTGATTGCCTAGAATATGCCAATATTATTGTAAGTTCTGGGGGTACAGTGGTAAGCAAAATGTAGGAAGTATATATTCTAACAATTCATTTTTAATTTTGTTTATTGTTATTTTTGAGACAGGTTCTCACTCTGTCCTTAAGGCTGGAATGCAATGGTGGGATCAGTATTCACTGCGGACTAACTTTCCAGGCTCAAGAGATCATCCTCACACCTCAGTCTCCAGAGTAGCTGGGACCAAAGGTATTTAATTATAGCTATTTTTTTATTGGAATATGGTTGATGTAGTATTCTATTTTTATGATATATGAGGAAGCCCTTTTAAATTCTGCATAAGCTATTGACTTCAATTTAGTGTATTCTGCTTTTGTAAAAGGTGACCATCAACATGCCCAGCTATTATTATTATTATTATTATTTAGAAACAGGGTCTGCCTGTGTTGCTTAAGCTGGTTTTAAACTCCTGGGCCCAAGAAATCCTCCATCCTCCCGCCTCAGCCTCCAAAAGTGTGGATTTACAAATGTGCACCACCACCCCCAGCCCAATTCTTGAATTACATTTGAAAATTCTATTCCTAGGTATTTATCCTACAAATATATCCCCTTGGTTGTAAAGTCACTTATGTGCAAGAATAACCATAGAAGCAGTCTTTGTAATAGCAAAAGATTTAAAAATTTTTAATTGGCTGGGCACAGTGGCTCACACCTGTAATCCCAGCACTTGGGAGGCTGAGGCAGGCAGATCACCTGAGGTCTGGAGTTTGAGACCAGTCTGGCCAATATACCGAAACCCTGTTTCTAAAATATACAAAAATTAGCTGGGTGTGGTGGTGTGCGCCTATAATCCCAGCTACTTGGGAGGCTGAGACAGGAGAATCACTCCAACCCCGGAGGCGGAAGTTGCAGTGAACCAAGATCCGAGATCGCACCACTGCACTCTAGCCTGGGTGACAAAGCAAGACTCCATCTCAAAAAAAAAAGCTAACTGACCATCAAAAGGTTAAATAAACTATGGTATATTCATATGCACCTATTAAAGATAATAATGAAGCTCTACACATATTGCCATGG